AACGCAACCCCGGGGCCTCTGGAGCCTCTACGGAGCCCCAAGACGGCCTCAGTAGGCCCTAAGCGCAAAGATAGTCCAAGAAAGCGTCGAGATGGCACAAGGTAGTCCCACGGTGATTCAAGCAGGCGTCGAGACGGCCCACGACACGACACGCCCAAGACGGCCACAAAGTACTCCCAGAAGACCGCCGAGAAGACCCCAAGAAACGATAATCGCCACATTCCCTTTGGAAAACGTGCGTTTTCAGCATACGTGCTGCCATGTGCGTGTGGAGAGCGCCGAAGACGGCCAAAGGGGTTCCCAAGATCTTCCCAAGTTCGCCCCAAGACGGCTTACAAGGGTCCGAGACGTTCCCCGAATACCCCCAAAACAGCCCAAGAGACCCCAAAAAGAGGCCCAAGCCGGCCCCAGGGACTCCTAAGACGGAATGCCGCCATGTGACGGGGGGGGATAGGAGGTGGGGGGGTGGGAGGACGAGCTCCCGAACGCAACCCTGGGGCCCCCTGAAGCCTTTCCAAAAGCCCCTCGACGCCTCAAGACGGTCCAAATAAAGCGCCAGGACAATCCAAGAAAGCGTCGACCTGGCCCAAGGTGGTCCCACAATGATCCACTCGGGCTTCAGGACGGCCCATGACGCGCGCAAAACGGCCACATAAGACTCCTGGAGGACCGCCGCGAAGCCCCAACAAACGAAAATCGCCCCCTTGCCCACGGTGAGTTCTATGCGACATTTGGCCAGCCGCTTCCCCCTTTCCTCCTCCTCCTCCTCCTCCTCCTCCTCCTCCTCCTCCTCTTCCTCCTCCTCCCCCTGCTCCTCCTCTTTCTCCGTCTCCTCCTCCTCCTCCTCCGTCTCCTCCTCCTCCTCCTCCTCCTCCTCCTCCTCCTCCTCCTCCTCCTCCCCCTTCCTCCCTCCAGGGGCCTGCCCGCCGCTGGGAGTTTGCACTCAAAGTTCGAAAAAGGTGGGGCATGCCCTGCCTCCGAGGCACCCAGCTTGCCGCCAAGATCAACAGAAGCCACCTGGAGAGTGTCCCCCAAGTGCAGCAACAACCGTCGAAAAAGGCTCCCCCGGAGAGGTTCCCAGGAAGCCCCGCCACGTACCCTAGGTGTCTTTTCTGCATGCCTCGTCGTCGACCTCCTCCTCCGCCTCCTCCTCCTTCTTCTCCTTGCATGTTTGTTGTAATTCTCTTCTAGGAGTCGGCGGAATGGCGTAAGCCACTTGAACAAACTCTTCTGAGGACCCACGAAGAACAGATTGTAGGGAATGCGAATTGAAACATCATTAATGCGTCTTGGGTCTGCACTGTTCGTCCTCCTCCGCCCCCTTTTCCTCTTCCTCCCTCTCCTCCTCCTCCTCCTCCTCCTCCTCCTCCTCCTCCTCCTCTTCCTCCTCTTCCTCCTCTTCCTCCTCCCCCTAATCCTCCTCGTCTTTTCGTCCTGAATCCAGATCCTGAGCGCAAGAAACTCTGTCAGACGTTGCCCGCCCCCCCACCCCAGGGCCGCAAGGGTGAGAGAACAGCATGCGGCAGCAAGGGTCCGCACCCCCCCAGAGTGGACGGCGCAAAGGCCTCTTTCCTGCCCACGGACATGCCCCACAGGCGCTCCCCGTGTCGACGACGGGAGCTTTCACCTGGAAGCGAGCGAAAAGGTCCCCGAACCGTTGGGCTGGGGGCCGCCTTGGAGAGCTCCGCCGAGCGTGGGGAAGGTTTGAGTCCTCCGCGGCGGAGGCTCCCCCTGTGGGATGGGGCTGCGCGACGGCGACCACCACCGCCAACCGCCGTGCCTTCCACGACCTCTACGCTCCTGTTGCTGCTGGTTGCGACGCTTCAGCTACACGTCGTTCATTTCTAATCGTGCTCATTTCTAAATGTTGCTCGTCTCTAATTGTTTCCGGCCCCCCCAGCGGCCAGGAAGAGGCCCAGGATAGGACAATTAGAAATGACGGGATCTTGGCCACCAGAAAAATCAAAAGGAACTCTCGAATAATGAAAAATTAACCATGTGTAGCTCGACGTGGTCGAGATTGTGCCCTAACCGGATGACCATACTTGTGGCTGCGGGCGGCCATCGTGAGCTGCGGGCTGTGCCCTGGCGGTCGACGCGCACCACGCCTCTGCACCGACACTGCGGCGATTGGGCCTGCGGGCCGCGGCCCGGAACGGTACTGAGCTGGTGCCGTGCGCTGGGGTCCGGCGGCCCACCGCAAGAATCCTCCTCCTCCTCCCCCTCCTTCCTTCTCCCTCCTCCTCCTCCTCCTCCTCCTCCTCCTCCTCCCTCCACCTGCTCCTCTGCCTCCTCCTCCTCCTCCTCCTCCTCCTCCTCCTCCTGGGCCCGAGCGGTGCAGGCACGAGTTGGATGTTCGTTTCCGGTTCAGCACCGTACCCCGTGTGGACTGGAGGCGGAGCGGCAGCCGGAGTGTCGAGGGCAGGCGAAGCGAGGGGAGGGTGGCGGGTGACAGAAGAAAGGGGTCACATAGCGACCAGCTTGGAAGTCCCTCCTGTCCCCCCATGCTGCACCCAGCCGCCCCCACCGCCACAAGAGTGTGCAGGTGTAGGTTAGCGGGGTGACAAGTGGGCGGGTCGGTCAAGGGGCAAGTGAGCCGCCGGAGGGGAGGTGAAGGTTGGGCGAGGTGGCTCTCGGTTCCCCTACCTCTGGCCACTGATTTGCAAAAGCGGCGGCTCACCGCCTCGTTCGTCGTGGAGGCCGTCGGGTGGGGGGCGCGGGGCCGTCGGTCAGGGCAGCGGGGTCGCGGTGGCCTTCGTGGGGGCCGTGGGGGGGTTGGTGGCGCAGGGGCGGCGCAGGGGGTCGTGGCGCACCGGTACGGCGCGGCGGGGCAGGGTGGGTTCGACGTGTCGGAGTCGTCCGAAGTGGCGTCCTCGTGCTCCTCAGGGCTGGTCTCCCCTGGAGGGCCAGCGTTGTCTTCGTAGTCGTGCTCGTGGGGGGCGTCCGCGATGCTGTCGCGGCGGCCGTCGAAGGGGCTGCGGCGGTAGCCGCGGCCGTCTTCGCGCCCGCCTCGGCCGTCGCCGTCGCGGGGGTCGTGGCGGGGATCTGTCGCGGGGGTCACCGTCGCGGAGGTCATCGCCCGCAAGCTGTGGTAGAGGGCGTCCTGGTGGGCCCTCGCGGGGTCGCGGGGCAGGGGGTCGTCGGTTCGGTTGTCCTGTCGTCCGCCCAGCAGCCCGCCAGGGAAGCGCTGTCCGCGTAGCCGAGGGAGGCCGTCGCAGGGTTCGTCGCGGGGGCAGTCGTCGGGGTAACCGCGGGGGGCTGTCGTGGGTGCGGGAGTTCGTCGTCACGGTGGGTTGTGGGGGTCCGCCGTGGGGGCGGCCGTGTGGGTCCGTCGTCGTGTGGGTCCGCCCGCCGTGGGGGTCTGTCGCGGGGTCCGTCGCAGGGGCCGTCGTGGGGGGGCGTCTTGGGGGTGCTCGGCTGTACCTGTGACCGCTCCCCCGGGTGTGCCCCCGCGGGCTCCCTTTCAGGGCACGCGGCCACGCGAGATGCTGCCGAGGTGCCAGCGGCGCAGGCCGCGGGCTCGCCGGCCGCCCCAGATGGCCGCTTCAAGGGCATGCCCCCCCGCGGCTCTATCTCGGGGCATGCGGCCACTCGGGGCACCGCCGTCGCGCTGGCCGTCGGGTGGGGGGTTCGCGGAGGCCGTCGTGGGGCTGTCGCGGGCGTCGTCGTGGGGGGTGGGGGCAGGCGTAAGCTGAGGCCGTCGTGGGAGGCCGTCGTGGTGGTGGCTCGTGGGAGCCGTCGTGGTGGTGGGTCGCGGGCGCCGCCGGGTTTGGGGGGCGCCGTCAGGGTCGCCGGGCAGGGGGCGCAGTAAGCTGGGTAGTGGCCCGCAGGGGTGTGGCGGGGCAGCAGGAGGCCCTCGTTGTCGCCGTGGGTGGCGCTGGCGTCGGTGGACCAGTAGCTGGGCGGCCCGGCCATCGCGAAGACGCTGTGGGAAGGGTTGTGGTTGCCATGCTCGGTCCTCTGTGGGGACCGAGATGGCAATTCACTTGCAGGTCCTGAGTTCTGCCTTGCTGGCCGCAACCTCGGCGGCGATCAGGCGTCGGCGCCTCGCGACGCGGCGGGCGCAGTATGCCCGAGTGAAGCGGCGTCCCGCGCTCGCTGGGAGCCCTAGGGCCGGCCGGATGTTGGGCAGTCCCTCCCTTTTCTCCTCCTCGTCCTCCTCTTCCTCCTCCTCCTCCTCCTCCTCCTCTCCTCCTCCTCCTCCCTCCCCTCCTCCTCCTCCTCCTCCTCCTCCTCCTCCCCCGCCCCCTCCCCCTCCTCCTCCTCCTCCTCCTCCTCTCTCCTCCTCCTCCCTCCTCCTCCTCCTCCTCCTCCTCCTCCTCCTCCTCCTCCTCCTCCTCCTCCTCCTCCCTCCCCCCTCCTCTGCCTCCTTCCTCTCCTCCTCCCTCCTCCTTTCCTCCCTTTCCTCCCTTTCCTCCCTTTCCTCCCTTTCCTCCCATTCCTTCCCTTTCCTCCCTTTCCTCCCTTTCCTCCCTTTCCTCCCTTTCCTTCTCCCTTTCCTCCTCCCTTTCCTCCTCCTCCTCCTCCTCCTCCTCCTCCGCCTCCTCCTCCTCCTCCTCCTCCTCCTCCTGCCCTGCTCCTGCTGCCCTGCTCCTCCTCCTCCTCCTCCTCCTCCCTCCTCCTCCTCCTCCTCCTCCTCCTCCTCGTCCTCCTCCTCCTCTCTTCCTCCTCCCCCCATCCTCCACCTATTCCTCCTCTTCTTCTTCGTCTTCTGATTATTATTCTTATTATTATTCTTAGTTGTCGTCTTCTTCCTCTTCTTAGTATGATTATCATTGTTATGATTATTCGTCTTCTGATTTTCATCT